CGGGGGGGGGGGCGGGGAGCGGGGAGGCGGCGGCGAGGCTAACCCGCGGGCCCGGCGCGGGGCGCTTACCCCCCGCACCTGTGGCTGCCACAAGGGAAGGGAACACAGCACGAGGCATCTTTTTCCGTTTTTGGTCTATCTGGGTAAATTCCCATGCACACTTTGAAACAAAGCACGTTCTGTTTTTATTGGGTTGAGTGTTCTATAAATGTCAATTAGGTCAAGTTGGTTGATAGAGTCAAGTCCTCATATCTTTGCTGATTTCATTTCTACTTGTTCTATCAATTATTGAGAGAGGATGCTGAAATCTCCAATTATAATTGTGGGTTTGTTTATTTCTCCTTTGGGTTCTATCAGTTTTGGCTTCATACACTTTGAAGCTCTATTAGGTACATAAATGTTTAGGATTGTTACTTCCTCTTGTTGAATTGATCCATTTGTCAGTATGAAATGAAATTTTTACCCTTGGTAATATTCGCACTGAAGTCTACAAGGTTTCTTTCTTTTAATTTTTTTTAAAATTTGGGTATAATACACATAACATCACGTTTACCATCTTAACCATTTTTAAGTGTACAGTTCAGTAGTGTTAAGTATATTTACATTGTTGTACAGCCAATCTCCACAACTTTTTCATCTTGCAACACTGAAATGATACATATTTCTCTTTTTTGTGACTGGCTTATTTCACTTAACATAATGTCTTCAAGGTTCATCCATGTTGTGGCATGTGTCAGAATGTCCTTCCTTTTTAAGACTGAGTAATGTTCCATTGTATGTATATAATACATCTTGTTTGTCCATCTACCTGTCGATGGGCATATGGGTTGCTTCCATCTTTGGGCTATTGTGAATAATGCTGCAATGAACATGGGTATACAGATGTCTTTTCAAGATTCTGTTTTCAATTCTTTTGGATATAGATCCAGAAGTGGGATTGATGTGCTGTATGGTAATCCTATTTTTAATTTTTTGAAGAATTGCCATGCTGTTTTCCATAGTAGCTGAACCATTTTACATTACCACCAAGAGTGTACAAGGGTTCCAGTTTCTCCACATAGTCCACATACTTGCCAAAACTTATTTATTTTCTTCATTCCTTTCTTCCTTTTCCTTCCTTTCCATCCCTTTCCATTCTTTCTCTTTCTTTTTATAGCAGTTATCCTAATGGGTGTAAGATGATATTTTATTGAGGTTTTGATTTTCATTTCCCTGATAATAAGTGATGTTGAACATCTTTTCATATGTTTGCTGGCATTTGTAAGTCTTTCAAGAAATGTCTATTCAAGTCCTTTGCCCATTTTTTAATAGGGTTGCTTTGTTGTTGTTGAGTTGTAGGAGTTCTTTATATATTCTGGTATATATACAGTATCACACAGAATAGTTTCACTGCCCTGAAAATCCTCTGCTATTCATCCCTCCCTCCCCTTTAATCCTTGGCAACCACTGATCTTTTTACTATCTCTATAGTTTTACCTTTGAATATCATATAGTTGGAATCATATTGTATGTAGCATTTTCAACTTGGCTTCTTTCACTTAGCAATATGCATATAAGGTTCCTCCATGTCTTTTCATGCCTTGATAGCTCATTTCTTTTTAGCACTGACTAATATTTTCTCATATGGATATGCCACAGTCTATTTATCCATTCATGTACTGAAAGACATCTTGGTTGCTTCCAAGTTTGGGCAATTATGAATAAAGCTGTCATAAACATCCGTGTTCAGGTTTTGTGTGTACGTAAGTTTTCAGCTTATTTGGGTAAATACCAAGGAGCATGATTGCTGGAATGATATAGGAAGAGTATATTGAGTTTTGTAAGAAACTGCCAGACTGTCTTACTGCCAGTAGCTATACCATTTTGCATTCCCACCAGCAATGAATGAGTGTTCCTGTTCTTCCACATCCATGCCAGCATTTGGTGTTGTCAACGTTCTGGATTTTTGCCATTGTAGTAGGTATAGTGTTATCTTACTGTTCTAATTTGCAACTCCCTAATAACATGTGATGTTGAGCATCTTTTCATATGCTTATTGCCTTCTGTGTATCTTCTTTGGTGAAGTGTCTATTTAGATCTTTTGCTATTTTTAAATCAGGTTGGTTGTTTTCTTATTGTTGAGTTTTAAGAGCTCTTTGTATATTTTGGATAACAGTCCTTTATCAGATATGTCTTTTGCAAAAATTTTCTCCCAGACTGTGGAAAGATGCATTTTAAAGCATAATATGCCAATTTCCTTATCATTTTTTTCAGTATTGTCTTTTTATTTCATTTTATCAAATTTTCTTAACAACTAATGAGGTTGAGCATCTATTTATGCCTTTACAGGCCATTTGTGTAACTTCTTTTGTGAAATTTCTATTCAAATCCTTTCCTGATTTTTAAGTTGGGTTATTTTTTTTTTAATGTTGAGTTGTAAGAGTTCTTTATATATTCTACATACAAGTCCCTTATCAGGTATATGATTTGAAAATATTTTCTCGCATTCTATGGATTATCTTTTTGCTTTCTTGATGGCATTACTTTTCTTTATTTTCACAATAAGTGGCTATATTATTTGTAAAGAATGACTTTTTTGTATCTTTTCCATTTTTATATTTGTTCTCATTTTTCCCCATCTCTTTTGATGATGAGGAAGAGTTCCAAATAATATATTGAATAGAAATAGTGACAGGATACATATCTGATTTTTGTTTTATTTTGGGTTTTACTACTTCTAAGGAGAGTAACTCTCATATTTCTTTACTTGAGAATACTATTGACTTCTGAGTTCAGAATAATCCTCTTTATCATGCTAAGGGAAAGTAACTTTATTTCTCTTTCAAGGATTAAAAACAATGAAAAATGGAGGTTAGAGTCTCTATTCTCCCCTTTCTTTGTGATAAATGCCTGCCCATACCCAATTTTCTCTGTGAATATGCAGCATTTTGTTTTTTTGGTTATCTCAGTGGATTGCCTTTTCATTATGCAGTAATAGAAACTTCTTTCTTTTCAGTAGCAAGTTGTAGCTCTTTGAATTTAGGGCTGGCCCGGTGGCGCACTGCTACAGTGCGCTACTTGGGAGTGCGGCTGCGCTCCCGCCGAGGGTTCGGATCCCACATACAGACCGGTTCCCGCTCACTGGCTGAGCGAGGTGCGGGTGCAACACTGAGGGTTGCGATCCCGTTGCCAGTCCCGGTCCGGTACGGGGGCAACACTGAGGGGTGCGACCCGTTGCCGGACACGAAAAAAGACAAAAAGGAAAAAAAAAATGTTTAGATGTGAGCTCACTGGGTTTATAATTTTCCATCCGTTTTAGGCTTTCCAGACTACTTCCTATGATACATGGGAAAAGTACAAGAATTAGGGAACACAGCCTCCTGTCAACTGATTATTTTTCTGAGAGACAAAATCATGCCTGGGATATGGGAATAGCAAATGAACAGGAAGAGAATAGAAAAAGTAAGGAAGCAGAAAGAGGGGAGTGGGCTTTGAAAATCCTAGCCAGTGGTCTCATTATTTACTTATAGATTGGTGTCAATCCTCAGTGCCCCTTGTAGCTATGAACTAGCTGATCAATACTGGTTTATTGATTACCCACCTACGGACAGGTTAGCTTGGGAATAGAAGCGGATGCAGGAAGGAAGTGGCCAGGGCCATCTGGTTGTACTATGTCACAAGCAGAAAGACAGAATCCTGCTGTGTTTGAGCATCTGTGTTGACCTGTTCCTCTGGTCTAGCTTTCCCCCATCTTGTGGCTTCTGTACTGCTGAGAAAATAACTAGAAATGTAACTCCACTTGCAATCACTGTTTTCACCTGCTTTCACTGCCCTGTGAAGCACGGTGAGTTTTGCTAGTGATGAGACATACATGTCATCAGCTACTCCCTAAACTCCCTAAATTTGTCAACAGACAAATTGTTGTCTGCTGCTGTCAGTAGGACTTCCAGTTCTATGTTTATTTCCTGACAACTGTTTTCCTCAGTGTGCATACAACACAGTACATGTAAGCATTACACACACATAAGATGAATAAAAGTGAAAATAATAGTTGGATCTGTTAAGGCTTCTGCAGTAGCAAGTAACAGAAAATTTAATTTAAACTGGCTTAAGTGAAAAATGAAATTCATTGACTCGTTTTACTGTATACTCCAGGCATTCCTGGCTTCACATAGAGTTCGATCCAGGTGCTCATATGATATCCTCTAGACCCTGACTGTTCATCTCTCACTCTCTTCTCAGCTGTGTTTTCTTTTTCCTCAGGGTTCACGTGATGGAATATGGTTCCTAGCAGCTTCAGACCCATATCTTTCCAGGGTCAGGTCGAACAGAAAAGAGAGTATCCAGTATCATCAGGAAATAATGCCTGGAAACAGAGTGCTCATATGAGCCCTGAAATTCCTTGTGATTGGACCAGCTTAGCTCATCATGGCAGGAGGGACCTAGAATTACTCAAGTTTGCCAAGCCAGAGTCACATGCTCCATGCCTGGGTTACTGAAGCCACTATATGAAGCAATAGGGGACAACCGTTCTGAAAGGAAATTCAGAATGCTTTTTCCAAAAGAAGGAGAAAAGGATGCCAGGCAGTTAAAAATAATACATACCCACTATAATATCTAGGGATAAAGTTTGTTTGCCCACTTAAACAAATTTCAGTAAGAATTTATCCTATGGACTTCTTTTAAATAGAAGTTAAGGAGGATACCTTTGAGTTTCATTTGGGCAAATGATACACAGTTACTTTTCAAATTTATGTTAAAGCTATTTATTGAGCCATAGAGCATTTATTGAGCACCAACTGTATATCATAGACTAGAGATATAGATTTGGGAAGTCATGTGAGTGGGTGGGAGTTGAAGCCATTACGTGTGAATTGGCTTATCCGAGGAGAGTGTAAAGGGTGAGGAGAGGGAAGACTAAGGGCAGAGGAGGGTTCTTGGTTTTTGATCCCTCCTCCTCAGGTGGAGAGGAGCCTGGCAGAGTGCACAAGGAGAGGTAAAGGAGAGCACTTATGCTGAGCGCCAGGAATGGGAAATTGAAGTGACACTTACCTTTTAAAAGAGATATATGGGAAAATGGCTCAAGAAAGGTGGCTATCATGTTATCTTCCACGAACCTCTGAGCTGCAAGTCACGATTCTGTTCCTTACTTTGATGTGACCTTCCATGTGATATTGGATGAGTGAGTGTTCACCTTCCCTGGGACTCAGTTTTCTCATCTCTAAATTGTCTAGCCAGGGTCACCTTTTGTACACAGGCAGACCAGGTAGCACAGTCTGATGTGGCTTTAGGGTGTGATTTAAAAGTCTTTCCTTCCTCTCAAGAAAATACCCTTGGCTTTATGCTTTACTCCCTTTTGAAACACAAATACCTCTGTAGAAAATATCAAACAATCAGTTTTTAAGAATAATAACCATGTGTGTATAAAGGACTTGGCATTCCCTACAGTGCTTTCAGGCCCTTTATTATATTTTAACCTTGTAATGATTCCATGAGGTGGTATATAGAGAAATCTTATAATTCCCATTTCACGGATGAGAAAATGAAAACTACTCACTCAGAGGTGATATTACTTGTCAGTGTCATGTGGCCGGTCACAGGTTGAGGTCGATTGGGTCTCTGATTCAAAGTCCTGATAGCTTTCTGTTCTCCAACTCATGGCATGAAATGAACAGAGGACCGGAAGAAAAATTTCTCTTCCTTCCTTCCCAGACTTGGCTGCTGTATTCAGAGGAAAGGAAGTAGCCAACCCAAAAGGACCCTAAGGACCAGGAAGGATTAGGCGAAAAGATCCTGAAGGCGAAGGACAATGAGGGGAAGGAAAGAACATAATTTGCAGAAACGACACACCCTTCCTTTTGGTGGGAGACTTATCCAGAAAAACTCTTTTAAAATGGAATTTGAAAAGAGCTTACTGATGAAGGTTACATGCCTCCCTATGTCACCAGAACTTACCAGGGATGGACTTGCTAAATGGGAAGAGAGTGCTCAGGATCCCTCTCTCAGGCCTGGTAGATCTTTCACTGAAAATTAGTAAATGGTGGCTTTGTTTGTAAGGAAGAAATCCTGTGGTATGTGGCATTTTCTTCTCAATGCAATCTGTCCATATTTCCACTACTCATGCTATTTTACAAGTTACTGTCTAGCTTCAGTGTTTTAGAGGTTCCTGGAAGTCATGGGAAAGCAAAGGAAAACTGGGTGCAATCACCTTATGTGAAAGCATTCTCTTGTCTGCTATTTTCTTTATATGATGCTTTCTCTACTTAGTACAGATAATGAAGTACAGAACAATGTGCTTTAAATATCTTTAGCAGGGTAATTAATCAAGTTTTAAAGAAAAAATAATAAAGAACCACATTAAATAAAACTGATGAAAGGCAAACATCAATTGGTATTCATATTTACATATCAGTTTCTTATGGAAAATTATAATTTCAAGCTACAGCGAATCTAAGTTTATTTAAATATTTTAGCGAGACCAGTAATATCCAAGGGTACTTCGAAAAGTTCATGGGAAGATTTGAAGTATCTTTTAATTCTATTTTTCCCCAAACTTTTTTTTTTTTTTAAAGATGACCGGTAAGGGGATCTCAACCCTTGGCTTGGTGTTGTCCCAATTTTTTTTTTTTTTTATAGATGACCAGTAAGGGGATCTCAACCCTTGGCTTGGTGTTGTCAGCACCACGCTCAGCCAGTGAGCAAACCGGCCATCCCTATATGGGATCTGAACCCACGGCCTTGGTGTTATCAGCACCGCACTCTACTGAGTGAGCCACGGGCCGGCCTTCCACAAACTTTTTGAAGTACCTCATATTATGTGTCATATTGGGTCAGACTGTTCATTTCATCTTACTCAATTGAGGATAATAAAAGAAGCAACTGTGAAACGTGTAGCTTCTATTTTTTCAAAGACCAGGACTAGGTGAATGAGAAACAAGAGCATAGAAATTGTCCTGATTTTCAGAGGTCCCTGAAAATGGATATTGTGTTTTCACCAGATTCTCACTTTCCAGATAATATTCCTGAATGCTGGACTGACATGAATCATCAGCTGTCTTGCGTGGTCCAACTACAACCTGGACAATCGGAATATGACGCTGTAAAGGACAAGTTCAATCAGACTTGTTCTTTCTACACAATAGAGAAGGTAATACTGTGTTAAAATTTTACTGTTTTAAAATGTTGAAGAAAAACATGGGTCGGCCCGTGGCTCACTTGGGAGAGTGCGGTGCTGTTAACACCAAGGTCAAGGGTTCAGAACCCTACATAGGGATGGCCGGTTGCTCACTGGCTGAGCGTGGTGCTGACAACACCAAGTCAAGGGTTAAGATCCCCTTACCAGTCATCTTTTAAAAAGAAAGAAAAAGAAAAACATGAAAGCCATCTTTTTTTTTATAACACTCTCCCTTTCTTTGTCACTTACTATGTTTATGTTAACTGGAATTAGACTTAAGCTCCATAGACTTCAGATCCCATGGTTCATTCATTAGCAGTAATGAAGGAGAGTCCCAAAAGTCACATGGATATGTTAGGACATTTTAAGTTACAATTCACAAACATACTCACTCAGACTGGTTAAACAAAATTAAATGTATTGGAAATTAATGGGAAGTCCAGAAGTAGGATGAGCCTGTGAGCAGTTTGATGATGTCATGATCCAGTTTCTCTGGCTTTGCTGTCCATAATGTCAGGTTCATCTTGAGGCCCGGACATCCCTCATGGTGTGGAATGGCTACTGGCGGCAATCAGGGGGTCCCTGCTTCTTCATTCACATTCCCAAGGAGAGAAACTGTTCTGGCTTACAGCTACTAAGAGTCCTGAGCTTTGTGTTGCATAGAACACTTCAACCATCTCTGTGTCTAAGGAATGCCATGTGCTGATTAGCTTGGGCCTGGATAGTCAGATCTCTCATTTTGTGGTCTCATATTGAGATCCTGATCGATTTAACCCAATTAAGCTTCACCCTATAACTGTAAGCAGTTCCATTGAAACCAGAAGTTGCTGCACAATGGGGATGGTGGGATGGATGTTCAGGAGATTTGCACGGTGGCCACTGTGCTGCATAAAATTATTAGCCAAGTATAGGAGTTTATCAGAAAGTCATTATCATAGCGTGTACATCAGAGCAGGGTGCAGCATCTTCTGTAGGTCTGTGTGCTTACAGTATAGCACGGACAGAGCTGTACTTTGATAACCTTTCACATGCCCGACTCCCCCACAGACAGTGAGCTTCTTAAGGCAGGAGTCGCATGTTCTGAATCTCGGCATTCCTAGTACCTAGCACAGTGGGAACCAGAGGAGAGAGATTAGAGGGGGAGATGCTTCTTGGTGTGAGAAGCTGTGCAGAGAACGAGGACAGCAAGAACCTGGCTGTGATGGTGTCCGCCCCATATATGCAACTTCCTTGGCTCTTCGCCTTCTATCCCACCCATTTTGAAAAACCCCCAACTTTGGATTAACCCCATAAGTTACTTCCTGTCCTGCTGCTCCTGGATGAAGCCCTCTCTGATGCGTGCTCCTCGGCCGCAGCTTGACCCTCCAGGCTGCCTGGAACCCTTCGCCGCTTCCTCCGGCCGCCTCCCTCACTCATTCCCCATGCCAAACCTTCCTCACGTTCCTTGGCGCGCCATCACTCTGGGCAAACGATCTTCCCTCCCGCTTTCATCACGTGGCTTCTCCTCAACGCCTGCGCCAGGTACCCACTGCATTCCTCTTGAACCTCCCTTCCTCCTGTGTCTCTAGGACAGCATTCCGTCACGTTTCCTCCTCCCTGCCCAGACACAGACTACCTGCAGCCCTTTCCTACGCTTCCGCAGCTCCGCGTGTGTTCTCCTGACCCGTTGTCACCACTCTGAGGGGTCGTCACGTGGCTCCTTATCTCTCTCCCACATTAGACAGAAAGTTTCATGAGGTCAGAGACCCGACAAGCACTTGATTCACAGTGGTCGTTCAATAGGTGATTACTGAGTGCATGTTAACTTCATTCCCTAGAAGGAAGGAGAACCAGTAGAGAGTCATATTTTGAAAAGAAGTTAAAGAAGGACGGAGTTTCAAGGGGAGGATGATTCACGATTTGAAATGCTATTGAGAGGTCTAGAAAGAAATCGTCATCAGATCAGGCCCTTATGAGGTGATTTGTGACCCAAATTGGAGCAATGCAGAAAGCGCGGTTACTGGGAGAAGCCACGTGGAATGGGTTTGGAGATGGGAAGGAGGTGCGGAAATGGCTATGGAATGATGCGAATCTCTGAGGAGGAGTGTGCATGCCGGTGAATTGCCAGGAATTCCGGGGAATATATACAAGTAAACATCTTGATGTAAACTATAAGTTCTGTATATAAAATGGATACTGACAAACATTATTACGAAGTATAGATACTTATAGACACTTTTAGGCTTTTTCTAAAGGCAGAAAGCTACCCAATCTCTGAATTTGCTGTTCACCTGTATTTTCTTCTCCTTTTCCTTCTCCTCCCCCCACCTTCTCCTCCTTCTTCATATTATTTATTTATTTTTATTTTTTATTTTTTTAAAAGATGACTGGTAAGGGGATCCTAACCCTTGACTTGGTGTTGTCAGCACCATGCTCTCTCCCAAGTGAGCCAACCAGCCATCCCTATATGGGATCTGAACCCGTGGCCTTGGTGTTATCAGCACCACACTCTCTCGAGTGAGCCACGGGCCAGCCCTTCATATTATTTATTTTAAAATCCACAACAAGTAAGATATACTGAGTTCTAAGGTCATTTCCAGACTATTCTGCCTTTTGTCATTTGCAGATTGAAAGGATACAGAATGTATTTCTCTGGCAGAGCTACCAGATGAAGAAAAAACACATGGACATCAAGAATGGCCATACAAATAATGAGAGACTCCTCTTCCACGGGACAGATGCAGACTCAGTGCCACACGTCAATCAGCATGGCTTTAACCGCAGTTATGCTGGGAAGAATGGTAAGGAAGCCGGTAATCTGGCTGATCACAGTGAGGTGAAAGGCAGTTCCAGTGCTGACCATTCACCCCCAGGCAGTGCAGAACCGTAGGTGGCAGCCACAATGTCATTGTCAGGATAGGGCTTGCTGTGTTTCACCCTAAAGGAGACTGACAGCCTTCTGAGGGAAAATGAAGTGAATTTTAGGAATGATGAAAAGTGACTTTGGGGGGCAGGAACTGCATTTTTATAAAAGGTTCGTCAGACTAGGCATGGTTCTACATACTGTGTGCTTTTATATACTTAAGGCTTTTGTGTTTCACTTTACAGCTGTATCCTATGGAAAAGGAACGTATTTTGCTGTCGATCCCAGTTATTCTGCTAGCGATGCATACTCCAAACCAGACGGCAGTGGGAGAAAGCATATGTATGTTGTGCGAGTACTTACTGGAGTCTACGCACAGGGACATGCAGAATTAGTTACCCCTCCACCAAAGGATCCTCAGAACCCCACAGATCTGTTTGACTCTGTCACGGACAATACACAATATCCAAGGCTATTTGTGGTATTCTTCGATAATCAGGCTTACCCAGAATATCTCATAACTTTCAGATATTATTTTTTTCTTAATATCAGAGATGATTTAGTCATCTGTTTATAAGAACAATTTATAGTTTTTGTCTTTGCCTTTGTCTTGTTATGCAGAGAAAAGTTTCCCTTTTTGGTGCTCAAATGCTGACAATCACCTTCTAGAAATGCTCTACTGCTGCAATTTGTGGCATACCTCTTTTCTGAGCAAATTGATGGGTGGAAGCTGAGAAATGTAAATACCACAGTTATAACTACAACTGTCTACAGATGCCACATCTATAGTAGAATAAAAGCACATTCTTTTCTATCAGAAAAAAATAAGGTGCATCACCTTACAACCAAGATGACATTGTGCTTACTGGACTGTGTTAAGACATCAAACTGTGGTGGGGTAACTATGCTATCAAGTGGAGAGGCTACTGTTATGCAACTGTAATAGCTGGGGATTTTGCTTCCTTAACAAACACTTACTTGCCAATAGCTAAGTTGGAATGACCACATCACAGAATATTACCTTAAATCTGTTGTGTTACAAATCAGGTAAAAATGTTCTGTATTGTTATCTAATCCTACATTAAAAAATTACCCCAGAATATAATGGCTTAATCTTACACAGTCTTTGTGGGCCAGGAATTCAGGTATGGCTTAACTGGGTCATCCTACTCGGGTCTCTCATGAAATTATAAACAACATGTCGGCAGGAGATGCAGTCGTCTGAAGGCCTGTCTGGGGCTGGATGATCTTCTTCCAAGGTGAATCACTTTCTTAGCTGGCAAGTTTTTAGTGATTGTCAGCAGGAGGCCTCAGTTCTTCTCCACATGGGCCTCTCCACAGGCTGCTGGAGTGTCCTCATAACATGGCAGCTGGCTTACTCCAGAATGAGCAGTTCAGGAGAGAGCAAGGCAGAAGCCATGATGTCTTTCATGACTGAGCCTCTGAAGTCATACTCCCTCATTTCCACAGTATTCTGTGGGTTACATGGATCAGTTCATTCAGTGTGAGGAGGAATCACACAGGGCATGGATACCCGTAGGCAAGGCTCACTGGGGCCATTTTGGAGGCTGTATGAATGAGCGAATGAATGATAGATGGAATTTTAGCGGTGAAAAGGATGCTAGAGGTTATCTATCCCACTGTCCCCTCGTCTTTCTCCACCGTCCTCCCCTTCTCCCAGTGCAAAAAGCCCTCTAGCTTCTGCTTGATCACCCAGCACTTAACAGCTTGAGGGAACCTATTCCATTATGGGACAGCATCAGTTATTGGAAAACTCTTATTTACACTGAATTGAAACCTGTTCCTCTGTGTCTGTTACCTGCTGATCACTGTTCAGACTTCTGGAGGACACAAAACAAGTCTTATTCCTCTTACAATGGCAGCTCTTCAATTCATCCCTTCCCTCTACTGTAGTAGAGTTATGTAAATTCTTAAAATATTTAGTAGCTCATTCATCCACTTTTGAAGAGTTACAAACATTGAAGAAGAGTTTATATATAAAAAAACAAAGTGTGTGCACATTCAAAGAGTACAGAAGAACATAAAGAAAATAACTCACTAAACTCCATCACTCATAATTCTAACAGAGAAAACCACTGCCAATGTTTTCATATACTTCCTTTTAGTTTCTTCTCCATCCAAATTTAACAAAGTCAAAGTCACGCTTTATTCAATCACTAATTATACAATTAGTGTAATTATCAATTATACAATTACACTAATTTTCAGTTAACATTAAAAGTTGTTTCCTTATGCTGTTATTTTTCTTCTGTAAACAATTTTAATGGCTGAGTTATTCTGTTATATATCTTCCCCTATTTTTATGATTTTAGTTTTATAAGTTTTAAAAATGTGATCATCTTTACTTATTGTTTAATAAACAGATTTTTCACTTTGCAGTATATCATTTTCCTCATATCATTAGATATCTTACACATAATTTTTAGTAGTTGAATAATATTTCATTGTATGTTTCTACCTACATGTCATGTCAAAATAAGTTGCCTGTATTTCTAGATAAATATATGAGACTGGAATATGAGATGCAAAGACCATAATCTACCTTCAACAAGGCACCAATCTCTGAACTGCTGAGGGAAATATAGTCCTAGAGAACAAAGCAAGGTTGAGTAATGCAGTCCTGCCTGGGCCTCGGCTCCCACCCCCAGTGCAGAACTCCAGAGATCCAGGTTGCAACATGGAAGGATTCCTCTTTCGTAGGTGGCATAGGCTTGCAGTACCCACTGCTCACCTGCTGACTCCTCTGATGCCGTTACTTAAGCACTCCCCAATTTATTTTGCCGCTTCTACTTCAGTAGTGAGACGCAGAAGTCTTGACTATAGTATGCCCATGTTATTAAAATTGTGATGCTTTCTTGAGGAAGAAAATATAAACCAATCAGTAATTATAGTTACTATAAATTCTGTCTTCCATCAGTCTGAAGCTAAATTGTGTCTTTCCATCTTTTAAGTCCTTCTCCTTCCCAGTTAGCTTGGTGTTCTCTAGCTACATGTCTAGAACAGTCTCTACTTCTAAGAACACCTTATTTCAATTTAATCAAAATTGGAAGTCTTTCTCAAACTTTGCTAATGACTGAAGAAGTGGGTCTCTTTGGATCTCCAGATTTCAGGCAAATGAACTGATTGACCTGAGACCAGACACCATGAGCTACAGTTCCAGACTAGTGGCCTGCTTTCACAGAAGCCTTTGCTTTTCATTCTTTGCTTATCTTCTTTTGTTACTTCCCTTACCATTTTTCTCTTTCTTGTTCCTTTTTTCTTCCTTTCAATTCTTTCCCACACTTGTGGAAGAACAAGGACAAACTCAGCTTAGGTTAATTAGAGGAAATGGTCAAATTCCATGTGGTATATATGGTGATATGTGAATTGAACACAAGGTTTGTGAGTTCGTTTACATGGTGGTGGGTTAATTATTACAAGGCTGGTGAGGTCATTTATAGCTTATATGATCAAATTCAATTACTGCTAAATACTTTATTAGAACAAATACAGTTACTTGTATTAAACATGCTTTACAAGTTTACTTGATTAAATTATTACATATACAAGCCTTGATCTTTAACACTACCATTAGCAAACAGGAAGAGAGTCTTGTAACTAAATTCAGAGTATGAATAACTTGGGGCCGGCCCGGTGGTGCACTGCTACAGTGCGCCGCTTGGGAGCGCGGCGGCGCTCCCGCCGAGGGTCCGGATCCCACATACAGACCGGTTCCCGCTCACTGGCTGAGCGAGGGGCGGGCGCAGCACCGAGGGTTGCGATCCCGTTGCCGGACACGAAAAAAGACAAAAAGGAAAAAAAAATAAAAATAAAAAAAAAACAGAGTATGAATAACTTAATCTTAAAGGACCTTTGCCCCATCTCCTCTTTTTTTATGTTACTTTTGTGATCACCAGAATATATATATTGTTTTTTCTTTATTTTGTTGAAAAGGGTGTTTTTAACGCAGTAATTTAGTTTCCTGAAGTCTCTTATCTAAAATTATATTTCTATAACTAAGACCCATCAAATAAATAATTTTGGCTTCCAAAAAATCCAACTCCACTTCCTCAAACTGAGCCTTTTCTTTCATGTGCTCAGTGTATTCCCGTCTTTTCACACCCAAACCTGGTACCCCGTCATCTCACAACACCTACTTCTCATTCAATTTAGTCAATTTGTATAAAGCAAGAACAAACTTTTTGCCAAAAAAGAAAAACCCAATGAAAATGCTTCACTATAAGCCTTTGTAGTTTATAGTGCAAATTTTATTTTTCATATTGCCTCTGTTAAAATGCCAAAGTACTTGAGATAAGGGAAATACTAACATAAAAACAACATAAAATTAACAAGTGTGGTGTCAACAACAAAAGCAAAAATTCAGTGTAAGTAGAGGAAAGAAAAGAAAAGCAAGAAACTAGAAAGAAAAAAATAGGAATCTTAGAATCTGAAACTACAAATCTAATTTGTAAGGACTACAAGCATAACTCAGGGAAGAGCAGAAATCTAAGATTCATAACATAAAAGATGCAAAATAAAAAAATTCAACATAGTGGTAAACATCATAGAATAATAATCATTTCTGTAATATTCTATTGGGGTTTTTTTAAAGATTTTTTTACCATTTATTAATCCTCTTATGAAAAATGCACACAATCATTGCAGATAATGTCATTGCAGAATTTTTACTCTTTCTGTTGTTACCCAATCTCAAGCTCACTTTTGGCCAGCGCCAACACTGGCCTTTGCAGTCCCTCTGACTTTCTTCATTCTTTCCTTGTGTTCTTTTTGCTGTTTTCTTGAGGCTTTTTCTTCTCATACAGATCATGTCTTGCAAGTCTATGTTTGTGTTCATTTTTCTTTGCATAATCCAAGGAATTGTAAATCATGCCAAAGCCAGTTGTCTTGCCACCACCAAAATGGGTTCTGAATCCAAATGCAAAGATGACATCTTGTGTGGTCTTGTATATTTTGGCTGGTTTTTCCTGAATTTCTGTGCTAGGTACTGTTGCCTTCACGGGATGAAGAACGCCAGTGACCATTCGTTTCCTCTGAAGTAATCAGTTGGTCATGAACTTCCAGGTCCAGGTAGTTACTGTGTCATTCATGATGGCAGCCAATCCGCAGGGAACCAGGGAGAAAAAGAGTAATATTCTATTGTTAACAGAGCATTTTAGTATAAAATACCTCACTTCTCTTTACAGCAGTCCTCTCAGGTAGCCCACTTTGACAAGGGAAGCAGATACCCAAAGGGATCAATTGGCACAGCTCTTTCATTCTGCTAGTTAAGTGGCAGTGTTAGGACCGGATGTCAAGTCTCTGACAAAGATCATAGTTGTTGATGGACTCTACACTGCATGGATGGAAGCAGAAAAAAAGTAAAGCTGACTCACAAAACAGTGAATGAACAGATAAACTGAAACCTGAAGAGTACTGAATAGTCCTATCACAATAAGTCAAGAAGTCTTAATTAACTTAGGAAATAGGATATGCGAATTCAAAGTCCTAACCAAAGGTATTTCTGAGTAAACACAATGAACAGACTGCTGGAGACCTAGGGAAGAGTTCAAATCTAAAAGCAGTCTGCTGGCAGAATTCTTTATTGCTCAGGGGAGATCAGTCTTTGTTTTAGTAAA